GCCCTTTCTGTTTGATGCCCCACAGCCTCTAAAACAGTAATTCATCATGCACTGTATTTAATTACAGCAGGCATTTGTTACTTAATTAGGTCCAAACCGTGTGTTGGATTTTTCCCTTCTAGGCAGGAATTATGTTGGGTCATTTCTAGACATTGTAATGCCACCTCCTTGGTAGTGGCCACCCTGTTATCTTTGTAGTGGCGATGGGCTCAGGATGGAACCTGTCATGACAATTGATCAGAACCTCAAGATAATTATGGAGTTATTGAACTTTAAATTCCAACATGTGTTTTTATTTTACAAAGGAGTGCTACAGTGAAGAGATGACTGTGATGTAAATTTAATGACTGTCTGGCAGGGTCGCCTATGGATCCATGGAATGTCACACCTCAACCGAGTGTGGAGCTTCAAACAGTTTGAGAACAGCCATAAACCACCCCTGCACTGCAGGGAAAAGAGGAAAGGATGCTTTTAGTTAGAATGCTGCTGGCCACCCACTGTCAAAAGGAACCAGGACAAAAGAATTTCAGTCAACCTGCAAATAAGATAAGGATCTCAAAATTGACTGTTCAACTATCAATGTCAATGGTACTCCTGCCATCCCAGGTGATAGCTGTAACATTGTACCATCCACTTTTCATGAATAACAATTTATATTTTTTTTAACTTTTATCCTTATTTGGAATGACATTCCTTCCTCATCAGAATGTATGTGTGTTCTTCATTATTTCTTCTCCTGTTTAGTTACTAATAAACTCATTTATGTTAAATCATGAAAGTCTGGTTAAATTGGCTCCTTTGAAAACACAAATTCAATCAATCTGTAAGAAAGATATCCACAAGGTAAGAGTTTCTTTTATAAATTAACCTTGCTGTGACAAACTGAGTGGTGAGTACATAAATAGGGGAAACCAGTTCATCCCCCCCCCTCACAGAGGATTTTAATGATTTGGGGTATCTCGACTGGAAGTAAAACAAAAATTGGGGATTCTCATCCGGGTCCTGGTCATGACACATTTCCTAAAACAGGTCTGTGTTTGGAACAGCTGTAGCAGATACTGAGACACGCATTTTGGAAGGTTCACCTCAGTTAATTGGCGCATTGGCGCAGGTAGCGATATGAGTGAAAGGCATCCTAGCCCTCATCCCCACACTTCTTTGTACTTCACCCAACCATTCACCCTCCGTAGCCCCCATGTCTCCTCCATCCTTCAACAGCCCATCCATATCTCCTCCATAGTTGCCATATCCCTTCCATTCCTTCTCATACCCATTCATTCAGTATCTGCTATATTCAGCGCACACAAATTTTATAATAACATTATGAAGTCTTTGGGATGATCATGAATCTGTAAAATTTAAGAACACACCCATTCAAAAACCTGTTAAAATCTTCTCAGGACTTCATAGTGCTCCAACACACAGTCATTCAAACTTCACTTGAAGAAAAATGTTAATCCTCTGATAAGCCAGGAGATCAATGCTGGTTGAAAGAAATACGCAAGTGTGCAACACCAGGAGTAATGGAAAAAGAGGTGTCAACCTCATGAAACTATAACAACCATTTTCAGCCAGAAGTGCTGAGTGGATGACACATCCCACCTTCCTCCTGAAACCCACAATATCACCGATGTCGATCTTTAACCAATTTGATTCACTCCACATGATATCAAAAAATGACTCAAGACACACTGGAAACTGCAAAGGCTATCAGGCCTGACAACATTATGGAAATAGTACTGGAACTTGGACATGGTCAGTTGGGAGCTTAGTGGGTTGAGCATCACAGGGTCCATTTCACAACAGTCTGGGAAGTGAGCCGTGGTCAGGCCTATGGGACCAGTACAACCAATCCAGGGAGTCACAGGAAGTAGGAGCAGCACTGAGATCAGTCAGGGGTCTGCTCACTCAACAGTCAGGGCTGTCTCTCCCAGTCAGTCAAGGTGTGGACCACTGTTAGTCCTGGAGGCTTGCCTACTAAAAGTGAAGGGGAAGGGGTCTGTTATCAGGGGGTCACTGCTGTGATAGGGAAATTGGTGAACTCAATTGTGGCGACGGTAGGAAACATGCTGGGATGCAGAAGGGATAGTAATTGTAAAGGGGAGCAACTCACCATCTAAGGCTGTTCTAGGTTACAAAGGGACATTGATAAAATGCAGAGCTGGGCTGAGAAGTGGCAGATGGAGTTTAACCCTGAAAAGTGTCAGGTGATTCATTTTGGAAGGACAAACTTGAAAGCAGAATACAGGGTTAACGGAAAGATTCTTGGCAGTGTGGAGGAGCAGAGGGATCTTGGGGTTCATGTTCACAGTTCCCTGAGAGCTGCCACCCAGGTGGATAGAGTTGTTAAGAAGGCGTATGATGTGTTAGCTTTCGTTAATAGAGGGATTGAGTTCAAGAGCCATGAAGTTATGCTCCAGCTATACAAAAGCCTGGTTCGGCCACATCTGGAGTATTGTGTCCATTTCTGGTCACCTCATTACAGGAAAGATGTGGAAGTGTTAGAAAAGGTGCAGAGGAGATTTACCAGGATGTTGCCTGGAAGGGAGGGAAGGTCTAACGAGGAAAGGTTGAGAGAGCTAGGGCTTTTCCCTTTAGAACGATGAAGGATGAGAGGTGACTTGATAGAGGTGTACAAAATGATCAGAGGTATAGATAGAGTAGACAGCCAGAGACTTTTTCCTAGGGTAGAGGTAGCTTTTACGAGGGGACATAGTTTTAAAGTGAAAGGAGGTAGATATCGGGGAGACGTCAGAGGTAGGTTCTTTATTCAGAGAGTGGTAAGGGCGTGGAATGCATTGCCGGAGAGGGTAGTGGAGTCAGCCTCATTAGGGGCACTTAAGCAGCTATTAGATAGGCCTATGGATGATAGTATAAGGTAGCGGTGGAGGTTAGATCGACCTTAGGTTTAGGGTAAAAGTTCGGCACAACATCGTGGGCCGAAGGGCCTGTACTGTGCTGTACTGTTCTATGTTCTATGTTCTATGTGGGTCTGAAGTCACATATAGACCAGACCAGGTAAGGATGACAGTTTCCTTCCCTAAAGGACTTAGTGAACCAGATGGGTTTTTCCAACAATTGACAATGAATTCATGGTCATCATTAGACTCTTAATTCCAGACCTTTTTTTAAAGAATTCGATTCCAGGTCACTAGAACATTATCTGGGTCTCTGGAATAACCGTCCACCGATAATGCCACTGGCCTATCACCTCCCCTATTGACTTACTGTGTGGACTAAACACAATCAAGGTCCCAAGCTCCCTTGAAGTTATCACATGAATCAAGAATACAGCCTTTTAACGGCTGTGATGCAAAAGCAGCACACTGCAGTCTGCGAAGATGCAATCCAGTTGCTAAACTAACAATTATTTTCCAGTTCCAATAGCCTGCATATGGTGCATGCACACCTTGGATCATAAAACATCAAGTAGTGCTAAGGATGGCCAGCCTCAGCACTTTCATTCTTATTGTTGCAGCTAAGATATTATTCAGTCACACAGGAAGAACTAGCCATTTGGATACAGAACGGGCTTGAAGGTAGGAGACAGAGGGCAGTGGTGGAGGGTTGCTTTTCGGACTGGAGACATGTGACCAGCGGTGTGCCGTAGGATTGGTGCTGGGTCCAATGCTTTTTGTCATTTATATAAATGATTTGGATGTGAACATAAGTGGTATGGTTAGTAAGTTTGCAGGTGACACCAAAATTGGTGGTGTAGTGGACAACGAAGAAGGTTACCTCAGTGTACAATGGGACCTTGATCAGACGGGCTGGTGTGCCGAGGAGTGGCAGATGGAGTTTAATTTAGATAAATGTGAGGTGCTGCATTTTGGAAGGGCAAATCAGGAAAGGACTTATACACAATGGTAAAGTCCTAGGGAGTGTTGCTGAACGGAGACTTTGGAGTTCAGGTTCATAGTTCCTTGAAAGTAAAGTTGCAGGTAGTATGGATAGTGAAGATGGTATTTGGTAAGCTGGCCTTTATTGGACAGTGCATTGAGAATAGGAGTTGGGAGGTTATGTTGTTTCTGTACGGGAATTGGTTAGGTTATTTTTGGAATACTGTGTTCAATTCTGGTCTCCCTGCTCTAGAAAGGATGTTGTGAAACTTGAAAGGGTTCTGAAAAGACTTACAAGGATGTTGCCAGGGTTGGAGAGTTTGAGCTATAGGGAGAGGCTGAATAAGCTGGGGCTATATTCCCTAGCACAAAGCAAGGGTGAAGAGCCAAGGCCACTTCCCCAGGGTAATGGAGTGCAAAACTAGAGGACATAGGTTTAAGGTGAGAGGGGAAGGATTTAAAAGGAATCTAAGGGGCAACTTTTTCATGTAGAGGGTGGTAATGTTTGGAATGAACTGCCAGAGGAAGTGGTAGAGGCTGGTACAATTACAACATTTAAAATGCATCTGGATGGGTACATGAATAGGAAGGGTTTACAGGGATATGGGCCAAATGCTGACACATGAGGCTAGATTAATTTAGGATATCTGGTCAGCATGGACTCGTTGGACTGAATGGTCTGTTTCCATGCTGTACAGCCCAAGACTCCATCACTCCAACTGATGGGGAATCATGAACATATATTTAAAAGGAAAAGTCACCTGGGCCACCTACATGCTCTCAGAAAGTCATCACTTCCTCCTGCTCCCTTTGTGTCTTGGTGTCGTCCCGGACTCTGCATCTGGGGTGGTGGTGTCTCCGAACACCTCAACCAGCCACTTTGTGCAAAATTCAGAATATACTGTTGAACATTAGATGTGATTCAAATGTTGAACAGTACCCACTGAATAATCTGGACTGTGCTAAGAATTACCGGGAAACCAGATTAAGATGACCAAATTGGGCTTGCAGTGTGATTCACATGTGTATGCTAGAAACTACATTTATTCACACCAATGCTCAAAATATATAGGGACAATGGGAGAATTCCTCCCTGGAATCCCCAAAAAGCTCTAGAAAGTGGTCACTGCTGTGACTGAAATCAGCAAAAAAAAATTTTCATGTATGTAGCTTGGAAAGAATCAAGAAGCAACTGCTCCTCAAACCACAGGCTGGCTCTCTATGGTGTTTTTGCTGCCGATTGGTAATAGTAAGCCAACATTTGAGGGGACTAGCCTGGGATTGAAGGAGGAGCGAGAAGATGAATTGTGATAGAGCAAAAGGAACTGGGACTGGAGCAAGTAGGGCCGGAGTCAGTGGAGATGGAGAAAGCCGAGCCACCAAGGCTGGAAATAATGAAGCCAAAGCTCAGGGGAGGGGAAAGGATTGAACAAGCTCGGAAGTGAAGCTGGTGAGGTTGAGGCTCAGGAAGCAAGGCCTGTGCTGAAATTAGGTTGCGAAGGGGGGAGAGGAGCTACAAGGTGAGGAATGGGTGGTACAAAAAGATCTACAAATGCTGCGGGGAAGAGTGAAGTGAGGGGTCTTAAACCTTTTAAGAAAGGAGTAGTGGATATTATTGTAATTGAATAATTTAATACTGAATAGGAGTATTCCATAACACTTTTGCATTTCTGTGTTATCACATGTCAAATTGTCTTACGTATAGTGAATCATTTGAAGTGTAGTGACTCCGTTAGAGATAAACGTGCAACCATCTAGCTGTGACCTCACCAGCTGGCAGAATGTTATGTTTAGGGTGATGGCTTTTAGTTTATCGAAGGTTTGTCAGCGTATGTTTTCTAAAAAAATCTTTGTTTTGAATCGATATCTGTTGTTTTGGAGCGTTTTAAATATAGTGATAGTCCAGGAAATTAACATTGTCTTTGTGTGTTATTGTTTCAAACTTAATGGTGTAATATTGAGTATTGAGGACATTGGTGAATTCGTCCAATTCTGCTCCTGTGTGACTCTAAATTGCTCAGATACGAACACAAATAGAAAAGGTGATCCTGCTATATGACTACATTGCCTAATAAAAGAGTTAATGAGAATATTAAAGGAGACCCTTAAAATCAAGTATCAATCAGAAAAAATCAAAATGATTCATGCTAATTGTACTGTAGCACTTACCAGTTTTACAATGGCGAATGTTCCAGAGGTAAACAATGGCTGAAACCAGAACTGCCATCACCACAGAAACTAGTACCATCAAATGATTTCTTTCACCTAAAATTGATTCACAGAATTTAATGAAATATAGGGAAATTAGTCAGTTTGGACTCGAGGCAGTTCTTTGAGAATCACTCATTTATTTAATTCCACCCACCTTACGCCACTCAGTTTTAAATCCTTTTCCAACCTTTGTCCATGTCTCTTTTAAAACCATTCTGGAGTTCCCTTCCACCAGTTTCTGGTGAGGCATATTATATCCTTACGCTTCTGTTTTTACTCTTTCATGATAAGTTTATTTAATCTTTTACTGATGAATGTAAATGTTCCTTACATGATGTAAGATGTGTGATTTATATACATATTCATACTGCTTATTTTAGTATTTGGATTTTGAATGAGAGAGCATAGAATGTGGGTTTTGGTCTGTGTGCATGAGGGGTTTTATTAATTAAATTGTCAATATTTCTGGAGCCATGAATTTTTTAAACTCGTATGAAGAGTTAATGCAAATTTGTTTTCATTTTCAGAGTTTTATGACTGGATGGACATTGAAAAGCATAAGCTTGCTTTTGCCTTCAAAAAATGACAATAAACTTTAAATATTTATTGGAAAGGAGAATACTATGTATGCTGTAAATCTGAAATAAACGGAAAATGCCAGATAAAAGACAACAGGTTAGGGAACACCTGTGTAGAGAGAGAAATAGCAGAAACAAAAGCAACACAATGTACTGAGAGCAGGTGTGCTGTTGTCTGAAAAGAAAACTGGAACATTAAAGAAAAGGTAATAATGTGGGTCAGAGTTTGCGTGCTGAAGTTGTTGACGTCAATGTGAGTCCAAAGGAAGTGAGTTTCTAAATGCTTGCTATTCATAAGGGGAATGGCACAGGAGTGCTCTCTGACGAGAGTCCTCAATAATGCACTGCAAGAACAATAGGCATCAACATTTTAAAAACAAGCTCTTACCTGCTGCTGCTGTTACTCCAATAACTCAAGAGATTTCAAAGTTAGAAGTTTCAGTCTTCTATCTTCAGCTTCCAGAGCACCAACTCTGCTGTAGTAGCCACAACCCCATGCCAGGGTTCCTTCCAATGGGTGACCCTGACCAATCATCCTCTGGTTCATGACTTATCCCCTCTGCTCCTGAATGCCTGCCTTCATCAATTGGATGTGTTGCCCTCAACTGCACACTGCACTCACTGGACCCAAAACGTTAACTCCATTTTCTCCATTCGGGTACTGCCAGACCTGCTGAGTTTTTTCCAGCAGCGTCTAGTTTTGCTTCAGATTTCCAGCATTCACAGTTCTTCGCTTTATTGCGCTGTGCTTTGGGAGCCTTCCTTTGGGTGATTAATTGACCACAAATGTTATATCTGGTGTCTTTAAAACGCAGGAGTTGGGGTCAGCAATCCATGCACTTCTGGGCTGGACTCCTGCCTGTAAGTAATCCTGGGATTTAGATTTTAGTTTAAGATTTTGGTCACTTAATTTGGTAAGTTTAGAGACTTTTACACATTCATGGACTTTGCTAGTCTAACAAAGGAAAGAAGAAATCCTGTGCTGGCACACAGCCAGAATTAACAATCCCAAAATGGTAACAAAATAAATTGAGTAATGATACTATTTTTACTAATCATTTGTGAATACTTGATATATTGTTATTAATTATTACAAATCAGTTTTAGTAACTGTAAGCATTTTAAAGTGGAGGTTTAATTGCAAACAAACAGTCTGTGAGAATGGGAGCGACAAGCAGCACCGAGAATCTTATTAGCTAAAACTGTCCTTGTGTCTTTAATAGATAGGAACACAATTGTTTTATGTCAAGTCAACTTAAAGAGAAGGAAAGACCAATTAAATTAGACAATTAATGATAATATAAAATCAAGAACTGCAGATGCTGGAAATCTGAAACAGCAATTTGTTAATTGCTTATTAATTTCTAATCAAGGGTTTTTGAAAAACAGAGAAACTCAACAGGTCTGGGAGCATCTATGGAGTGAAAGCAGAATTAACATTTTGGGTCCAGTGACCCTTGATTAGAAATTAATAGGCAATTTACAAATTGAGTTTTAAGAACAACTTTTAATGAAGTGGGACGAAGAGTTCTAAGTGCCATGTTTTGAGTAACTGTGTGTATCCTGATAGTAATTGTGGTCTTATACTAGGTTGGATTTAGATCGATCTACAGATGAGGACAAGTGGTCAGGGATTTCTGTCTGGATTTTATCAGCTTTCAAATGCTTTATTCAGGGACTTAAGGTATTTCATCCCAAGGAAAGAAGAAATTTCCTGTCCAAAAGCTGGGTTTGGATGCAGTAGAAAGTTTGTTTTGAATTTCTGAAAAGTATATCTTTTGTGTCCTTTGTTTGTAATGTAAGTTGCTTTAGATTGTGAGTTGAGTGACCGTTTTGGTGTTGGGACACTAACCTTTCCATTGTTCAATCTGTCCTTTCTTCTACCCTCCCCATTGACCTTTTCCCACCCTTTGGTCAAAATCTATCATATCTCTAACATGTTCCAGTTTTGGTGAATGATCAGACCAAAAACATTAACGATATTTTTCTCTCTCTGCACACATATGGGGTTATTTTTCCAGCATTTTCTCTTTTTTTAAAAAACAAAGAGTTATGATAGTATTGATCATTGTTCCAATTTCTCACCCTTAGGATTGATCGCTTTGCGTTCGTCGAAAGTCACTTGGTTGCTGGTTGCATTACTGACTGGGTTTTCTGCTATGCACCTGTACTCATCTTGTTCCTTTTCATTCACACAGTCTATCACAAGCACTCCTCCATCATATATTTTGCTGCAAATTCCAGACAAGGACACCTTTTCCCAGTAAATTGTGACATTTGTTCCTTTGGAGACAGAGCAGCTCAAAGTGATATTTGATGAATTCACACAGTTGTCACGAATCTCTATCACAGGCTGGGAAACTGGTTCTAAAATATATGGATGATAATTAACTTACACAACATAGTCATCACACTTCAGAGAAATTCATTGAATATTTTGTCTTATGAGACATTCCTGAGAGCTATGATTTCCCAGAACACAAATGTAAGTCTTTCCTTTTCATTTAGGGTCTTGCTTGAACCATTGTTAAAGACTGAAGGTCAAATATAACAGAGGTCATAAGTTGCATGTGTGGGAGACAATGGGGAGAATGTTGTAAGGCCCTAGACGACATGGGCTTTGGGGAGAAATTTGGGAGAATTGCATGAGAAGTCAAATGAGACCTTTCTTGATCTCTCACTCAGGAACAGAGAATTGCCTATTAATAGGGATTATTGTTCCTTATCATCCTCAAGAGTACCAAATCTTTCCTCATTAAGTATGCAATTTCCTATTCAACCATCTGCTTCATGGAAACAATCCATTGAGAATTGCTGACATGAAAATCAGAGTACTTACCTCGAGTCTTCATCTTACCACCTGCTCCTGATGGCCTCCATGGACTCATGGAGTCACAACACAGCAAAAAGCTCTTTGAATCATCAAGATCGCTCCAGTCACAAACAACGACCTAACCATTCTAATTCTATTTTCCAGGAGTTGGCTCATAGCCTTGTATGCCTTGGCATCCATCTTGGACACCCAATACCAACATCTTTGGGCACATTCCATAGCTAGTGACTGGCTGTGTCCCATGTTCTTGGATGCTGGCATCTGTCATCTGCCATGCCCTCTGCATCATGGCCCATCTCTACATCACTTACAGAACACTTCTACACCATACAGATGCACTTTGGGGCACTGGCCACCATCATAACAAAGCTGCTGGAAATATAATTTGTATTCTGGGACAGACCAGACTGTGTCTCAGGCTGCTCGCTTGTTCTTTCAGCACTCAATTAGCACTTACTGGAATGCTCACAATATTCCTGCCCTGTTTTGCCCTTTAGCATGTTGTCCCCTCAGCCAGAGCTTAAAGGCTCTCATTACTGCCATCTCGACTTTCTTTTCATGCAAACACGGAGTCAGGCTGCTTTTAATGCTTGTCAATGGTGATCATTCCAGGGTTGGGTAACTGTGCAGTTGCATGGCACTGTGCTGTGTAATGTCCTGTGCTGAACTGTTTCCATATGAAGAGGTCACTCTGGAGGTACATGAGGCCCTATCACTCTCAATGTCATTTCCTCCAGACAAGCGAGGCACAATATTGCTTCAAACTGAGGATGCCCGAAGCACAGTTACTGACCTATACTAATTGCTGGAGCAGGCATGCAACATGAAGGGGAAGGAGTCCATCCTATCCTGGTGGCATTGAACTTTTTCAAAACGGGCTTCTTTTGAGGACCCACTAGAGACCTTTGCGGATGGTTTCAATCATCCAGCCACAAAAGTGTCAAGGCTGTTACTGATGCCACTTGTGCCAGATCACATTACTTTGTTTCCCCATGACAAGGTCAGTGTTGTAGCTTGGTCAGTCGACTTTGGCAGCATCGCTGGCTTTGCCCATGTCTAGCGCTTGATGTGTACACACATTGCATGGAGAGTTCATCAACAGAAAAGGGATCATTGTGAAAGTCATTTGTGATGAGGAAATCTGCACCCATTACCGTGGAGTTGCTATGATGTATATTTTTGAGAATTCTCCTGTTCTAGCTGCATTTGAGGGGCCAGATGCCTTGCATGGACAGTTACTAAAGGTCATGGGATTTCCTCTGTGACCGTGTCGATGACTCTGTTATGCCACTCCCTGATTGAGGCTGAGAAGAGATACATTGCAGCCCATTCGTAGACCAGAATCATGGTGAAGGAGATGATGGGCATCCTGAAGATCAGTTTCTGACACTTGGATATGTCTGAGGAGGAGTTGCTTACAGTACACTCTGGACAGAATATGCTAAATAATCCTTGCATACTGTGCACTACTGGAACACATTTAGAGGGAATGTGATAGAGGCTCATGAGCTGGGAGAGCAGGAGCAGTCAGAATTCCAGGGAGTTAGATGATGGCATGGAGGAGGAGGAGGAACATCACCTTCTGCACATAGTGCAGCAGCATCAAGCATTACAAACCAGTCTAGCTTTCATTAACACCAGGTTCTAGTAGATGAGAACAGGGTACAGTAATCATTCATCAAATTCTGGTGTTCAACAGGCACGCAGTTCCTTTCTGATCCAACAGACAAATGGGGATTCCTTTTTTCGGTTAGCTTTAGCTGTTAGTGAATAATAATGAGTGCTTTAAAGTATTTGGAAGTTTTCCTGTATGTGATGGTCCCACAATGAAGAACAGTAAGATGCTGGGTCACACTTGGGATTGAAGAAAGAGTATCGGTGACTTAGAAAGGGTTGTAAGATGGGATGTACCCAGCTAAGGTTAGGTAAGCTGTGTGTCTTGCTGAGTAGTGTGATATATGTGGGAAGGTGCCGTTGTAGGTGTAATGATGTATCAGTCATGTCACGTATGTGCTCTGAGAAGCATTGAGTTTTGGTTGCTGTCCTACTACGTGAACAATGAAAGGAAACTCCACACTGCCAATTATTGACCATGTGCATGGCTGGGTTTCAAAGATGGCACCAGCCTCAAGGATTCCAGGGTATCATGGGAGTGGGGAGTACATCAGCCTATGGCAAATGAGATAATATCACAAGTGGGATGCCATAGTGGAATCATGCATTTTAATAAGGTGAGTTTGGGACAATAGCACAGGAAAACACGCTAGGGCTCGCACAGGTGTTCAAACTTGCCAAAAATTACACTTAGTTAATTTCTGGTAGGACTCAGCCCATAATCCAAGTTTGAGTAGGAGATACTGAATTAATTTTCCTCATGAAAAATATTCTTTCCTTTCAGCTAATATGTCTTTAGTGACATCAATGCTCAATGTCACTCCCAATGGAACAACAATAGATTCATTATGCTTCTTTGTTAAATTAATGGTAACTTGTTCCCAGGGGTTTGTGGATTGATCACTGAAGCGTGAAGGTTCTGGCTCACAGACAAAATTCAATAGCTTTTGGTGAAAAACAATCGCTATGCTGTGTGGTTTTGTAGTTGGGCCAAATTTTGGTGGTTTTGCATGAATAAGCTGAAATCCTGCTGAACCTGTTTGTATGAAATAGGATATATAAGGATTCACAGGAGCATAGGTAATGAAATAACTTCTTTTTACGTTTGTGGCAAATGATAAATTGGTTCAAATGTACATATTTCTTGACTGATATTATGTGCAGCTTTTGATTAATTTCTTTAATTAGTAAAGAAATAGATTTTTAAACATCAGTACAGTTGACATCATTTAACTTTTAAGGTGTCAATGAAAAGACAACATTACTAAAATTATCAAATTTAGTGGACAATCAAGAATTAAACACTTACCAAATACTTGGATCCTGAAAGTACTTTGATCACGGTTTTTCAGTTCTGTTCCAAAGTAATCAATGTGGATTTCATATACACCAGTGTCATTAACTTGTACGTTATAAAGCACCACAAAGCCTTTGTGGATTTTAACTCTGTACTTATACAGTGGGTGCACAATGTGCAATTTCTCTGGATTACTGGACTTCCATGTGAAAATTTTAAAATTTAGTGGAAATTTCAAACCAAATGTTACATCATATTGATCACTGCCTTGGTACTGTATGGGGAACAGGAGGATTTCTCCAGCAGTGGCATTAGAGATTGTATCAGGTCTGGAGAGCAAAGATTCACACAGTACGAACAATTGGACCACTGGAAAACATAAACATAGATTGTGCAAATCATTTTTTGATGTTAATCTAAGAACAATAAAATGCATATATCAAATCCTGATGGAGAGGGTGGAGGAACAAGTAGGAATACAGAGATAGTAGGAACTGCAGATGCTGGAGAATCTGAGATAAGAAGGTGTAGAGCTGGATGAACACAGCAGGCCAAGCAGCATCAGAGGAGCAGGAAGGCTGACATTTCGGGCCTAGACCCTTCATCAGAAATGGGTGAGGGGAAGGGGGATCTGAAATAAATAGGGAGAGAGGGGGAGGCGGATAGAAGATGGATAGAGGAGAAGATAGGTGGAGAGAAGACAGACCAGTCAAAGACACGGGGATGGAACCAGTAAAGATGAGTGTAGGTGGGGAGTTAGGGAGGAGATAGGTCAGTCCAGGGAGGACGGACAGGTCAAGGAGGCGGGATGAGGTTAGTAGGTAGGAGATGGGGGTGGGGCTTGAGGTGGGAGGAGGGGATAGGTGGGAGGAAGGACAGGTTAGGGAGGCAGGGACAAGCTAGGCTGGTTTTGGGATGCGGTCGGGGGAGGGGAGATCTTGAAGCTCGTGAAGTCCACATTGATATCATTGGGCTGCAGGGTTCCCAAGCGGAATATGAGTTGCTGTTCCTGCAACCTTCGGGTAGCATCGTTGTAGCACTGCAAGATGCCCAGGATGGACATGTCGTCTGCGGAATGGGAGGGGGAGTTGAAATGGTTTGCGACTGGGAGGTGCAGTTGTTTAGTGCAAACCGAGAGTAGGTGTTCTGCAAAGCGGTCCCCAATCTTCCGCTTGGTTTCCCCGATGTAGAGGAGACCACAATGGGAACAACGGATGCAGTATACCACATTAGCAGATGTGCAGGTGAACATCTGCTTGATGTGGAAAGTCTTCTTGGGGCCTGGGATGGGGGTGAGGGGGGAGGTGTAGGGGCAGGTGTAGCACTTCCTGCTGTTGCAGGGAAAAGTGCCGGGTGAGGTGGGGCTGGAGGGGAGTGTGGAGCGGACAAGGGAGTCACGGAAAGAGTGGTCCCTCCAGAAAGCAGATAAGGGTGGGGAGGGAAAAATGTCCTTGGTGGTGGGGTCGGATTGCAGATGGCGGAAGTGTCGGAGGATGATGTGTTGGATAATCTTGTTCCCGTTGTGGCCTCCTCTACATCGGGGAAACCAAGCGGAGGCTTGGGGACCGCTTTGCAGAACATCTATGCTCGGTACGCACTAAACAACTGCACCTCCCAGTCGCGAACCATTTCAACTCCCCCTCCCATTCCGCAGACGACATGTCCATCCTGGGCATCTTGCAGTGCTACAACGATGCTACCCGAAGGTTGAAGGAACAGCAACTCATATTCCACTTGGGAACCCTGCAGCCCAATGATATCAATGTGGACTTCACGAGCTTCAAGATCTCCCCTCCCCCGACCGCATCCCAAAACCAGCCCAGCTCGTCCCCGCCTCCCTAACCTGTCCTTCCTCCCACCTATCCCCTCCTCCCACCTCAAGCCCCACCCCCATCTCCTACCTACTAACCTCATCCCGCCTCCTTGACCTGTCCGTCCTCCCTGGACTGACCTATCTCCTCCCTAACTCCCCACCTACACTCATCTTTACTGGTTCCATCCCCGTGTCTTTGACTGGTCTGTCTTCTCTCCACCTATCTTCTCCTCTATCCATCTTCTATCCGCCTCCCC